GATTGAAGCCTTAAACAGCACTGAGGCGGAGAGGGCGCAAAGTCAAGGACATTGCAGGTCTGATGAGGACATCGACCCTCATCTGGAGGTCAACGAGAAGCCACTGAAGGCGACAGGATCAGAATTGCAGTTTTGAGAGACCACGCTGGTGGCAGCCCGAGTTAGGACCGGAGGGAAGCAAGACTGGGCATGGATCTCAATACACTGTGAACCTTCCCAGGGAAATGGGGAACATTTTGTCCATTGGGGGCCTTTCCAGTGGCCTCTTTTCATCCCCCAGCATCCCTTGGTAAATGCTCGCTGAGTAATCATGGGAAGAACACATGCCTGTCAGGAAAACAGTTCTCTTAAAGGCAAAGCAGTTGATCTAGAGCATGACTCCCCTTGGTGATGGGATGTCTCCCCTGATAAGTGGTGTCTGTGTGTGTGTGCATGTGCGCGTGTGTGTGCATGTGTGCGTGTGTGTGCGTGCACAGACCAGGAGAGAGGACGCTTCCACGTCGCTTTATTTCCCGTCCTGGCTGAGGTGTTGGAGGCCCCGGGGCACGCATACCTCCTCACCCGCGTGGAGGCATCTCTGGTAGCGGCAGCTGGCCCATAGGCAGATCTAGCTCTACTCGGTGCTGACATCAGCCGCTTTGTGGCACCTCAGCGTATTTCTGGGTTGCAAATGAGAGTTTCTTAGTGCCAGGCTCGCTTGGGCTGTCAGGCTGGGTGATGAATTCTCTGCATCAACCATGTGCTGCTAAGGTAAGCTCAGAGGGAAGGCGGGCCTGAGAGGAGGCTGGAGCCAGCAGTTCTCAGCCCAGCAGCCATGGCACTGGGCTAACAGCACCACTAGCTCCAACACAGCGCAGGAAGGCAGGTGGCCCTGTTCCAGCTCAGAGACAGTGGCAGAGAAGAGGGACGTCGTCTTCACTTGCAGTCCTGGCTCTTGTGTTTTGTCAGGAGAAACCACACAGGTTTCCCCATCCTGTTTCTCCCTGGGCTCCATGACTAGGTCCCCTTCCTCTGACAGCCGCACCTGCCTTATCCATTGCATGGGGTTCTGGCAGAATTTGGTGTACATCGGTCATGTGCCAAATTCATTAATGCACAATATACAGTAAATAGTCATTTTTGTTCCTGGAACCTTTGTTTCCAAATGTGTTTTAATTTATGTGTTGAACATCCAGATGTTCTGGTCTAGAAAACCTGCTGCATTTTGTCCTGATTTTATATTCTCTTAGCTTCCTCCCCTGGAGGTTCCACGCTGTGCCCGCTACTGGCTTCACCTAGTGGAATTCAATGTTAGATCAAGTCTTGAGGCTCGGTGCCCGGCCCCAGGATTACCTGTAGAATGAAGTGCAAATGTAAACTCTCTCCCACTAGCAGTGGTTTTGGAAAGGGTTTAGGGTACCCTTGATTTTGCAGGTGACCCTCCATTTGGTCACTCACGTCAGCATTTGGAAAAGCGTGTCCATTATAAAGAGTAGTTCACATGGGGGAGTGGAGGGCATATTGGGGTACAGAAGAGAAAAAAACAAAAGTTTTGTTTCTTACCAAATCCCACAGTGGTTAATGAGACCATCTCCCACTGTCCCTGTGCCAGATAGAAACACACACACAAAGGTGAAATTTCCTGCTTAATATTCACCCGCAAGAAGAAGAGGGAAGGAATTGCTCCCCAGGGTTAAAATGCAGTAAGCGGGGTCAGCTGTTCCCGGGACAGTGCAGCCTCCAAATGCCTTACATTAAAGCTGGAACGACACAGCCAGGGCAGCCGAGGTGGTTTACAGGAACCCGGGTATGCTGGGTTTGCCCGTGTTTCTGATGGTGGAGATTTTAGCAGCAATGGCGGCCCTATACAGCATCCCATGGCAGAAAGCACCCCCAAAGAAAAGAATTCATTTTGCTAGTATTAGACATCCTTAGTCTAAAAAGTACTTGAGTTCCTTTAATTTACACCCATAGATTGCAGTGTCCTTAATCTGGCGAGAAGTGAGGGCCAGAGCTGTATCCTGGGGATGGGGGAACCAGCTGCTCCAGGGTGCCTGGGACTCAGGGGTTCCGGGAATATAGGACTCGAGTGTTAACACCATGGGGGTCCTGGCACACTGAGACAGTTGGTCCCCCAGGTGGAAGCGTGTGTGTACATCCTGGGGTGGGGGGGCCTTGAGGGGGGCAAGGAGGCAGCTAACAAGACTGGTTTTATGTGTCTATTTTTAATAGAAGGTTTTATATATTCTTCTTCACTGGGCCAACAAGCATAATTAAGATGCCAGTTTTGATTTCAGCCTGAGCTAATTCCTGTCTCCACCATCTGTGAGTTCTCTGTACCCTCTGGCATCGTGTGCGCTGGCCTGAGAAAACAGAACTTCTTAAGGAGGGAGGTCAAATGTCTACTGTTTGAGTTATGTCAGCTCAGAATGACTCAAAAAAACAACGTCTCCTGGAACCTCGTGGCCAACACAGAACGCCGTGCCAGTGCCCTCCTAGCACAGCACCCGCCAACTCGTTTTCCTTACTAATGGCTCCGTTCGCCATCACTTCGGTGGAATAATGGCATGGGCTTCATAAGAGTAAGGTGGCGATCTGTGAGGCACGCGGTGAAGCTCCTTTGTCCACGCGCTGTGGCGTGGATACCCACTGCTTTCTTAGAGCTTCTTTATCTACTTGTCTCATACCAGTCGATTCAGAGATATATGACTTTCTTCTTCTTATGCCAGTTCTTTACTCTCTGCCTTATGACACTGAACAAGAAGGAGCTCTTAGTCTCCTTAAAATCCTGTACCACTCAGCGCACACACACACATATACATCTGTTATTTATTTACTTACTCATCTATCTGGCAAACATACACATAGAAAAAAAGATTCTGAAGGCAGATGGGTATCAAAATGCTAACGGTAATTATCCCTGAGTGGCAGGATGATGAGTGTCGTAAGTTTTTGGTTTTTTTATCTTTTCCTATTTTCCAACTATTATATTGCATATACGATTGGAAATGTTATTTTTTGCAAATTTATATGAGCATCTTTTTTTAGTCAGAAAAGATAAATGACGGTTCAAGGATTTTCTTTGGAGAAGAGTAAAATATAATCGCTGTTCTCAGATAGCCTAAAAAGGCCCAGAGCACATGTTCCTGATGGGGAAGGGAGTCGTCGTCACCCCTGTGGCCAACCTGCCCTGGGAAATCGAATTCTGTGCTTGATTCTGATCATACTACAGTGTTGGCGCCTTGATAGAAAAGCGTCCTGTTACAAAAGAATTCTCCTTTTCCCTCACTACTCTCCTTCTAAACTATCACAGACAAGAGGGGAAGGTCCTCCAACAGAGAAGGACTAGGGGAGCTCCCTGGCCCGGGGAGGAGGTGGCCATGTGAACTTGAGGGCAGTCACTCATTGATCTGCCCTCAAGGTGCCGTGTTTCTGGCATTGCCCAGCATGACCTTTTGCCCTCTTGGTATCTAGCTCTGCTCTTGGGTGAGGTGTGGACAAAACCTGTCCTCATGCTGAAGTAACTGGTGCGAGCTGCTTTGAATAAAAAGCCTGGCTGTCTGGGGAAATTTGGCACATCATTTGGGGGACCAGTGGCGAAGAACAACACCGGGTGGATGGAAAAGGCAGAGGAAGAGGTTAGGAAGCAGCCTCACTTCAGAGGTCAGGAGGCCCGCACTGTGTGTTAGTCGTAGCCCGGATGCCTGCTCTGCCCTCCCACCTCCGCCTTCTCATGAATGAAGCATCCGCACACATTGGCCAGCACCTATTCAGTGCCAAGCATGCTGTTCTGAGGACTGTGGGTTATGCCAGAGAAGAGGCCATGGTCCCTCCCAAATGGCATTAATCACACCTGCCCCAGGTACCCCAAATATTTCAGGGAACAAAGTGAGTGGAAGATACAATGGCACATAATTTACCAGGTATGCCTAAGACCGGGTCTATTCACAATTCACATTTTCAGAGTTGTGGTCTGTTAACTCCAAAGGAACGCAGCATTCAGGGAAAAACAGGAATTTTAACACACTTGTATTTCAATGCTTTAAAATACATAAACCATCATGAATTATGTACCATGAATTAACCACTAGGACAAATCAGACTTCAGCTGTTTCAGTGGTGGGTATTTTTTGAAAGGGGTGGTCATTCAAACAAACCCTTTCAGAACAGCTGCACTGTTTGGGTGCCTCAGGGTCAGCATCTTAGAAAAATGACCTACAAATGTAGATCGGACTTACAGCCCCTCGGCTCACGGCCTCTCTGGGTACATATTCACGCAGACCAGGCCTTACAGTCTCACCACCATTTTTTTCCTCTTATTCGCCTGAATCACCCACTATCCTTCTCAAGGCTTACCTCACAGTACCTCCTCCAAGAAGCCTTTCCTGATTGCCCAGCGAGATAGGATGTTGCCTTCATTTGAGCCTCACAACAAGCGGGCTGTCTTGTTTATTATGTTCCACCCTGGGTCATATAGTTCATTCCTATGCTGGCTTTATCCCCTATCTTAAGGACACGAACCGTAGCTCGCCCATCACTCTGTACCCAAGAGCAGCCGCGAGCTGGAATCCCATAACATAGGGAACAACCAGAGCTGCAAAGACTTTTAAAAGCTTTGGGGAACTTTTTAAGTTTCCAAGGGGATCCCAAGGCCAAAGAGGCGGAAGGGTTTCGCCAGAGTCCACAGCCAATTGTGGCCAGAGTCAGAATGATTCCCGGGCCCTTGGGCCTGCAGGCCACTGTCGTCGCACGAGGGCGCATGCGGCCATCTGACAGCCTGGTCAGGCCAAATGCGCTGAGAAGAAGTGGGCAGTGCGAACGTGTGTCTGAAGGCGCACCGGGAGGACCTAGATGTGGCCGAGGGTGGGGAATGTCACCAGCCACAGTAAGACGGTTGAGTTGATGAGTGTCCCCATGTGCCAGGCACTGTCACGGCCCTTTACACACGTTGTCTTGGTGTCGTTGCTCACAGCGGCCGCCCGAGCTCCGAGGACTGACTTCTCTCCCTTTTTCCCTTCTAGGCTAATGGAGGCTGGCAGGATGCCACTACCCCTTCATCAGTGACCTCCCCTACAGAAGGCCCTGGCAGTGTTCACTCCGATACCTCCAACTGATCCCCCGCCCTCGCATCCCGGCCGGCCCTGTGTCGGGGCAGGGCCAGGAGGGGGGGTTTCTCTCCCAGCGCTGGAGCGGTCAGACTGGAGGTCGAAGCAGTCAGCAAACACAATAAGAGTCTCCTTCTCTTCTCTTCTTTGGGATGCTCTTCCGCCAATCTGGACACTTCTTTATACTCTCTTCCCTTTTTGTTCTGGGTAGAAGCCACTCTTCCCTGCCTCCAGCTGTCAGCCTGGTGTCCGTCATCCCCCCTCGCCCCCCGCCCCTTTCCGTCTGTCCTAGACTCCCTGGGCCCCTGCCCTCTATTACATCCCTGAAGGATATTTTCAACAATTAGAGGAATTTGAAGAGCAAAATAATTACAAAGAAAATAAAGGTGTTTGTATGTTTTCGTGCTGGTGGTTTAAGGAGCCAGATTCACCTCCCCCGGGGGGGCCCGCCCCCCATGTTCACAGGTAGTCGTCCTGTTTCTCTCATTATTCTCACTACCTCTTAGCAGGAACACGCCACACGGCCCCCCTCATTCCAGGCCTCCCTGCCGCCTCTTGCTCTTCCTTCCCCAGGGACGGTTCCCCTTAGCACACTTCCCTACTCCTCCTCCCCAGCCCGGTACCCTTGGGGACTGCCACAGCCGGGCTTCTGAAGGTGCCACATTTTCTGGTTTCAGCTCCACCGGGTTGCCTCCCAGGCAGGAAGTCAGGCAGCGTGGAGAGGGCATAAGAGCAGGGCTGGGCTCTTAGGGGCTTTCTCAGCCTCTTGATAACAACTCTTGGTTTCAGAAACAGTCTGTGGGAACTGAAAGACTTTGTGAGCAGTGTCCAGACCCTCCTGCAAAACCAGGTCTGAGTTGGCTTTCAGTAATCCCTTCACGCACACGCACAGTCTCACCAGTTGCTTTCTCACTGTCAGTCACATGCCACGTACAGATACCCACATCGTGACCATAGTATTCTGCCTTGTGAGCCCAAGGGAGGGAATTAGCAGCCCTGAGTGTAGGCCACTGACAGAGGGATAGTGTGTGCCCAGGGCTTCCAGGACCCGGGCGCACACACCCAAACCATGTGCACAGGACTGGACCACGATGCAGGCCGGGTCTGCTGCGGTAACTGCTCCGGTTCCCACCACCTCTGGAGCGCTCAGGGAGCCACACACAGTACTTATAATGTCTGTAATGGGTTCGGTTCTGTTTCATTTGTGGTTTTATATTAGGGGCATCACATTAATTGTCTAAAGTGTGACATGGCACCACATTCTCGTTCTCGAAGAGAGAGTTACGTGTAAGAACACGCCTCGGGCAAACTTGGTAGCTTAATTTGAAGACCTGAGTGTGACGGGGAGCAGGGCGGCCCTGTTCTCAGTGACGCCATCACAGTGGCCACTGTCCCCTGGGATATCTAAGGGAGAAGGGTACGTGCTAGAAAGCTGTTCTCTGATGTCACCTGAGTGTACGTTCTTCATAGCCAAGTGTGCAGCCATAAAGATGGCAGGTCGGCCACTTGGTGAGGGGGAAGGCGGGCAAATCTCTTTGCTCATTTTCTTCATCTGTGAAATGGGGGTTATTATGTCTGGCTGACCAAGAAGGCTTGTGGGAGACTGAAGGGATGGATTTCATTTATATCCAGTCTGCAAATATGAAGCCAGGGGAAGGAGGGTCTCTGAGGTCAACTGGTTCATGCCTTAGAGGGACGATAAATGGTTTTCCTCCTCTAACTTGGGTCGCCGTCGGTACCCTGATGCCATCGTGTGATGACAGAGAGAAGCGTGATTGTGGCTTTCACTCGTTTGTTTTGGTCTGTTTGGTTTCTTAGAATAGGTAAGCTTCCATACTAGGAAAAATAGGACCTGGTTCTGTTAGTTTGTACTTGAATCCGATACGTGGCCTTGTTAGTACTTAGTCCCCCGTCGCATGCACTCTGCTCGCGAGGCCTGTGGGAGAGGTGGAAGTCCCTGAGGGTGAGGACGGCCGGCGGGCGAGGTCGTGGAAATTGGGCATGGCACGATGGTTAATGAAGAGAAAATGCTCCCCTGTGTCATGGGGAGACGCTGCCTAGAAACTGGAAGCTGTGCGTGGGTGAAGGCAACGCTGACGGTAAATGCTGGGCGAGATGGCATCATGCCTCGTGATGGAGCAGCAGAAAGGCCCTGCTCTCCCGTCTGTGCCGTACCAGAGCAGGGCCCAGGGAGGGGTGGCCCGCGGAGCCCCCGCTGGCGGCCCTGTAGTGATCAGAAGAGGCAGCTTTGTCTCGGCGGCAGGGCCTGTTATAACTACCCACACTGCAGCATGGTTTGGCTCACATCCGCCTACTTTGGGCAAAGTACAAAAGAGACAGGAAAGGGATCTCTTGGGAACAGGAAGAAAGATTACAGATTTGGTCAAATGATCACTGTCTTAAGCTGATGGAAGAGATGAGAGCTGTGGCAGGTGCACGGGCGGCTCCCCACTGGTCAACCCTCCCCTTCCCAGTGCCCGGTGCTTCGCCGGGTCCTCTGTACCGGGCGCCTTTCCCACCATCTCCCCCCCACGCCCACGGCCAGTGGGGCAGCCTCGAGAGAGAGCTCTCCATGCCGCGGCAGCAGAAGGATGGGGTTGGAAAGAGCTTGCTCCTGGGAACCCCTCCTGGGGCCCTCCTACCAGCCCCAGGACGCCGTCAGTTGCTAATAGAAGTGGGGGTGCAGCGAATTCCCCCCAGAAGTGACACTTTCCTTGGGTTTGTCCACCTTCTAACTTCTCATCTGCCCCCTTCACCCCTAGCTCCTCCCCTGGCGTGGAACTGACCCCCGTTTAGTGCTTTGACCACGTGGCGCCTTCTTTCCATTTATTTTTCATCTTGCTGTGTTGGTGGTTTCTTACTGGCTGTTGCCTTTTCTCTCATACACCTTTTCCCCCTATTCTCCTTCTGAGTTTTATTTTTCTGCCCAGAAAAACCTGACTTCGATACCAAAAAAGATGAAACTACAGAAACTCAAATTTAAAAAAAACTTAAAAAAAAAAACAAAAAAATACTCAATGATTCTTTCAGCTTTATTAACATTTTCCATTGTTTCTTGCGACTTGTGTCTGGTTCTTTGTAGTATTGATGAACATTTGATAATGAATGTTCTTGTATATTCAGATAAAGAAAAAAAAACCAAAAAAGCGGTCTGAATTTAATAGTGTTTATAATAAAAAATTTTAAAAATGACCCTCATAGCACGCGAAACAGGACGGGGAATTGCCCCCTCTTCTTTCTGTGACAATGCGCATCATTCCTGCATTAGTTTTTAACACCAAGCTACCTATGTTCATCATTTCCCCCATTTTTCTTCTTCATTTTCTCGCATTTGTGAATTAGTTCAAGAATGCTAGAAAAGTGTCGTTGTGCACATCCATTCCGTTTCACAATGTTTAAAAGTGACAGTAATTCATTTTGTAAACTAAAAAAAATTCATTTTGTAAACTGAATAGTGAGCATAATAGGTACAACCTGACACATTATTATGTTTATTAACTTTGAGACCCAGAAATAAATTCTTTTCTTTCCTTTATTCCTGCTCTTTAAAGTATAAAAAAAAAAATCTATGTTTTGTGTTATTTTTGGTTTGTTTATGGGGGGGTACTTTTTTTAAATGTCAGGATTATGATCTTGCTGTTTTTATTCCTTAAATATGTATACGAGGTGATGTGAAAAGATGACATCGTAAAATAGGCTTGTGCTTGTACTTCACTGCAGAATTCAGTTGACTTCAGAAACAAAGATAAAGCCCGTGTTGGTGTCACAACAGTTGTCACGCTGGACACCTGCATGTCCAGGGTGTGTGGCGCCTCTGCAGTCCCTGAGGGAAACAAAGTTGGGGATTTGAGTGCTCCGTTTGGCCCTTTAAAAATTCAAGGAATGGGTGCAGGGGACCTTTTCCACTGTAGGGAAAGATTTTTGCCTTTGTTGACTATGAATTCACAGCAAAATGCTTTCTCTCCTTTCTTCCTGATTAATAAAACCATTCCACGAGGCCTCTTCCAGCCAGACCTCTCTAGACGAATCTATATGAAATTTTTCCTACCGATGAATCCCACAGAAGACCCCGGTGTGAAGGGCACCACCGCTGGCTAAGTAGACCAGCTCCAGCAAGCCTTCCCCGGCTCCTGTTGGCCTGCTGAGCTCTTGAATCATGTTTTGGAAGCAGAGGTGGTGAGAAATTGAGGCAGACCCAGTTCGGTCATTTTAATGGTGAGAAGCTACGTTCGAGAAGCACCCTCTCGAGCCGTTGACTTCGGCGGCTGCTTAAAGCCAATTGTTAAACTGGCTTGACTGGGAATGTTTTTATTAGTTACAGGAGAAAAGAGAGCAACGTTATCTGGAAGAAACGTGTTTTAAACGTCTTTCATTCAAGAAACAATTGAGTTCTTCAAAAAGCAACCAGAACCTCCACAAAGAAAGGGGAGCAAAAAAATGCAGAATTGCGGGGCACCGCTGTAGGAAGCATTTCCACCCAAACGCGCGCTCTCTGGTGTTTCAGTCATAGCGAAATGATGACCAGCTTTTCACATCACCTTTATGGTTTCAAATCCCTAGCTGAAAGCTTTCTGGAATCTTTTATTTTTTGTAACCTTTTTCTTTCCCTTGGTTTTTTTTTTTTTTTTCAGTTATTTTGAAGTGCTTTACTTTGGTTGGTGGTTTTATTCCCCTGCTCCCCCTCCCCTGTTATTATTCAGAGTATAAACCTGCAAAGTTCTGCTCTGTTTTGGTTTTGAAAGTTTAAGCTTTTCTGCTTCTGTGAGAGCACAGGCTTCTGTCCCTTTCGACTCCAGCTGAACGTTTGTGTTCTCTAATGATACTAACATGGGGTAGGTTTTGCAGTCTCCTAATTTGTACTGGTAATGCATATTCCAAATAAATAGTTTCTTTTGTTGCAAAAAAAAAAATAGACTTGTATTTTGTGTAAATTTCTTCTCTTAACTGTGCTGACAACTAGTCTTCCCCCCAAGTAGGACTGTGTTAGTGTAGATTGTGGTTTAAACCGTGGCCCTAATCATTTTGAAGTCCACATACCAGGACAGTGGGGCAAATGATCTCATGAGCCACCTACCTGATCCACAAAATAAGAAGTAAGGGTGGGAGGGAAGGTGGGAAGAAACAAGGAAAGGCCATTTATGGGCAAATACTAGCTGTGCTTCAGGAGGGTGCAGCGCCCCAGTGTGCGCTTGTCTGTGACCGGCCGCCCCCTACCAGCACCAGCTTAAAAAGATTCCAGGGAGCTTGTCCATAGTAAATCCGAAGTTTCAAAGCCGTAGCTGTTTGCCAGTTCTCTTTGCCTTCTCTTTGCTGTGATCTGGTCATAAGGGAAATCGTGGTATCCAAGAGATGCTTCAGGGAAGGAATCTAGGCTCCAAGTGATAGTTGTTGGCTTTGAGAATATGCTGGATGTCACCGTAGATCTGCGTGCCCACCGTGTGTCACACCCACCACGCCGGGTCGGAGTCTCTCTCGATGGTTGGCACTCACACTGAGCCCCCGGCCTCTGGGTTTGGGTCCCACGACAGTTTGGCGTCTCAGGGTGTCCTGCCAGAACACCACCACAGCCCTCCGGCCTGTCTGTGGCCCAGCCTCAAACACCGCCTCCCCATCCACGGTCAGGATGGAGCTTCTTGTGTGGCCTCTGACGTGCTGGCCCTCTGGGGGTCTTACATGCACGGCTTCCTCCTTTTCGTACTAGAACTCTTGGGAGGCTCTTCCCAGAGCCCCTCTGAGTCCAGTATGTATGGAATGTGCCAGTCGCTCACCCTCTCATCCTGATAATGATTCCGATCAGTAGAAAATAGATCAAAGAAATGGAGACTCATTGGGGATCAAATGGACATTTTTGTTGATGAACAAGCTCAGAGCCCATTGGCCTCAACATTACCTAACATTGATGTGGAGAATATTGCCAGGGGGTGGAATGGAGGCCCCGTGTTCCCACTTCACATCCAGACGTCTGGGCAGGAAGCCTCAAATGACTTCCTCCTCCGGGTAGGTGGAGACGTGCACACCTGCCCCCACCAGGTGCACCGCTTAGAGGGCATTAACTGGTGACAAACCTGCGGGCACCATGCCCCAAATGCACCGCGAGTCCCCTTGTCCCTTACGCAGCAGCCTAGGCAAATGTCTGGTCGGGTGTCTGGGGCCCGGGCAGCGACTCAGTTCTGGGCTCCTCCGCCCTCCGGGAACGTGCAGGCCTCCGCATCTGGCTGGTGAGGGGGAAGGGGTAGGAAGGCTGCCCCTCGCTGAAACCCCTTCCCTCCCACCCGGCTCCCAGGTGCAAGCACAAGCTTGCGGGCGGTGGGGGGGGTGGCGACAGCGTCCCTGGCAAGGCAGCCACTTCCTGGCCACTTTTCAGACCGTTGCCCATCTCTGCCACAGCTGGGGGCCACAAGGACAAGTGAGCAGAGCCAAGCCCACGTGGCTGTTCCACTGCACGCGCTGGACATGCTCCCAGTGCAAACCTTCCAGCCAGCACCCCAGCCTCGGCTTTGTTTCCGGGGGACAGTGGGGAAAGGAGGGTAACAGCAGGGCCAGAGCCACTCAGCCTCACGTCGCCCTCCAGGGAGGACATAGGGTCTCCCCCTCCATGCGGATGTGAGCGTGGGAGGGAAACACCCCCTTCCTAGCATTCACCAAACCTAGTTGTTGTCTGAACTCAGGCCTCGGCTCCCGCTGTGGTCACCTAGAGGGGAGAGCGCAGCCCCGGCCTGTCCCCACCTTCAGGAGGCCACGCCCATGCTTACTGCTGGCTAGAAGGGTCGCCTCTGGTGGCCAGCAGTCACTGAACAGGGCTAAAGCCTTAAAAATACAGAATTTGATGTGCTTACCTGCCTCACTGGTTTCTACGTGCTTATCCTCACAGACTCCCCATTTAAAAATGCCAAGACATGCAGCAAATACCAGTGCTGTGACCTGCATTTATCAGGCAGAGCATAGCTGGGTGCACAGAAATACCCAGCGTGCAGGGTGCCTCCAGCGCCGCCTTGCGGAGTGACTCAGTGGACGGAGGAGGGTGTTAGGCCCGGAGGCAGGCCTGAGGCTGTGCTCTGGGGACTCCGCTTTGCGGCTGTAGTCAGAGCTGACAGCGTGTGCGTAAGAGGGCAGTCGGCGTACTGACCACGGAGCCAGTGAGATCCAGTCCACAGCTGCGCCTGGGGCAGATTTCCGAGGCCACTCTGGGCAGTGCGGGGCTGGCGGAGGAGGTGTAAGGGGTCACGACAGGGGACAGGGACAGTGCCAGGGCCGCACGCTTTGGGGAAGGGCTGTCCGTGTGTATCCTCCTGGACCCAAGTAGGAGACAGCTTCGCTCCTGCTCCGGAATGGCCCTGGGTGCGTCAGGAAGAGACATTCCTTAGCATCTGGTTACACTGACCCTGAGCCAAGATTCCCTCTCTCCCTTGATACTCAGCCACACTGTCCAGGGCACCCACCAGATCTGTCACAGGGAACCTCTTGATAGCATGCGAGGCCCAAGTGGCACAGGACGTGGAATATAAATCTCCCATGAATGCATAGCTAGAGAGGAATTGAGGCTCAAAACAAAATCTTCCTTTTATAAATTAAAATTCAAAATAAAAATACAAAAAACCACGCGAGGCTACCCCTCTACCTTCCCTGATTCCCTCCTGTGTTCCCTCTCAGCCGGAGCACCTCACTCCATCGCCAGAAGGGGAGTCGAGGCCCGCCTTCCACAGCAGCCACGGGGGCCCCCCTCTGTTGGGATGGAGGTTGCTCTTCCATCTCTCCGAAGTTCAATTAATCTAAACTTATATTTCTCTATTAGCCCACTTTTTCTAAAAAGTCACCTTAGGAGGCTTATGAAGCACATCCCAGCATCAGACCTACCTATGGAATTTAGAAAACACAGCAACAATCAGGCTTCTAGAGCAAAATTAATTTCCCAGAACCCAGATCCTCGTCCCACATCACTCTTGCTAGTGAAGGACTGGAGCAGAAATTTGGTAGCTCGAGGAGGAAGCGGGAAAGATGGAAAACACATGAAAAAGGAAAAGGAAAATCTCTCCATCAGTCTTTACAGTGCCAGCTGGTTTGTCTCCACTTTAGTCTTGAGAAAAAGCCCCCAGCAAGAGGTTAATTTTGACCTTACTTCCTGTATCCCGGGGGGAAACAATCCAATCCATGCCTCCTGCCCCCTCTCTCTCTGAGAATGACCTTTGAAATATTCATGCTTTTGTGAAAAATCTAAAAATGTAAAATGGGTCCCCTCCCTCCCATCCACAGGCTTCCTCCGAGGCTCCCCTCTCCCCGCAGTATTTGTGTAGTACTGAGAAGTAGCGCCGTTTCTCTTTCCCCCGAAGCCCTGTGTTGCTGCTCCCGGTGTGTTTACCCCTGGAGCGCTGGGGCTCCAGCTCTTCCTTCTCTGGGGGTCCTCCAGCTCACGACCCCTGCTGAGCTCTTCTTCTGTCTCAACTGGAGTCAGTGTCCAGTCGCTGAACCAGGCTGGGGCTGCAGGTGCAGGATGCGGGCCTCCCCCACCCCACCTTCCCCACAGTGCCTCGCCCTCCCCCTGCGCCGGGAGTCCTCAGCACCAGCAGAGACCTTCCCTCCCGTCATCTCCTTGAGGTTTGCCCTGGCGTTTCTCTCCTGCTATTCCCCAGCCCTTTGCAGAGCAGCAAAGTGTGAAATTGCCTACCCTGCCCTGTCCCCAGCCAGGTCTCTTCTCTGTCCCAGCTCTGTAGAGAGCCAGCTTTGCTGGTGAGCCCATCACTTGTTTTACCAACATATTTTTCTAATTCTATGTTGATTTTTTTTTTCTTTTTAATTCTGGATCTGTCCAAGGCTCCCATTGTTGGCGTGACTCCTGCTCGGCTCTAATTGCTTGAGTTGGGTGCTGCCACCCGGGCGGTGTCACGGTGTGCTCAGCCGCTGTCCTTCCCCGTGGTGTGTCCCTCCCCACCCCCCGGGGAGCCTGCCCGTGGGGCGCCATGGCCTGGACCAGCCTTCAACACCCATCTGCGCCCCTGTACACGGTGGTGGTTCTGCTGGAATTCACCATCAATTCTTGAAGCATTTTAGCGTGATGTTTTCTTGACTTCCACTACCGGTGTGTCCGCGTTTTCTCATCTAGTGAGACCTTTAAAGCCATCCATGGGGACACCTCCAGTTGCTTTTGTTCCAAGTCCCCATCTGTACTGGCGAGTGTAAAATTACAATGTCCATTACCTGCTTCCAGAGGGTCTTCCTTAGATCCTCTGGTGTGAGAAGTACATACAGGCCCCTCGCGGAGATCTGAGAAGCCAGACTGCATAGATCTGAGCCCCGGCTCTGCGGCTCTCAGGTCCCTCCTGACACTAAACGGAAGGAATTTCTTCTCCAGCATCCCAGCACCAGTTGCATGTCCTGTGTCGAGCTCTGACCCTACCCAGAGTCAGCAAAAACTCCACAGGTTGAAGGGCGCAAACCTGTTGGAGAGCCCTCACTTCAGTGCCGGTTGCAAGGATCAAGTCACCAGGACTTATGACCAACCAGTTATACCTGGGGAGTTCCCACAACCCCATCTCACATTTCACAATTTGCTGGAAGGACTCACAGAACTCAGGGAGTCACTTAAGTTCATGGGTTTGTTATGAAGGGTACGAATCAACATCCAGGTGAAGAGGTGTGTAGGACGAGGTCTAAAAGGGTCCTGAGCGCAGGCTCCTCTGTCCCCAGGGAGTCGGGATGCGCTGCCCTCCCAGCACATGGTTGCCTCTGCCAACTAGGGAGCACTCCAAAGCCTGTGGTTTAGAGGATCTTGCACCAGTCTCATCTGGGCATGACTGATTGAGCCGTCGGCCGCTCCTGCTTCCCTGGAAGTCGGGAGGTGGGGCTGAAAGCTTCCATCTTCTCATCACGGCTCCATCTTTCTTGTGACCAGTTCCCTCCTGAAGCCATCTAGGGA